CCCCAAAACCCCAAAACCCCAAAACCCCAAAACCCCTATGATCGTGTAATTATTGATAAAATTAATATCCAGCGATTACTTCCCTAATTCAAGGATTATCTTCAACTCATCATTGACTAAGTCAACCTCTTTCTTCAAACTGCGATTTTTATCTAAAGATTGTGATAGCTGACTTACCCCTCTCAGTATCGTACCTCTTTTTGAGAGCTTTAAGGTCCTCAGTCAGATCCCTGAGTTGCATCAATAAAGATCTGTTCTCTTTCTCAAATGCATTTATCTCATTTCTAAAGATAAAGCTATGGCATACTTAAAGATCTCTTCTTTTTTACGATTAAGGTCGATCTCTTTATTCTGAATCCGATTGAGTTCATCTTCTAGGTTTGACAAGGAAATCTCCTTGTTTTCAATAACTCTTGATAACTTCTGCATACTCTCATGAGCTCGTGTAATATCCTCATTCTTAGCTTGGAGGCTTCAGAGGACGTGATCAAGCAAGGTTTTCATTCCTTTTGCATACTCCTTAGGTGTATGACTTAACTGTGTTAGACAAGTGACAAGGTTAACTTCTTGGGCCAGGTTCCTGATTATATCTCTCATGGTGCCGGATCGGTATACGTTATAATAACTACTATCTTCTTGAGCTTGGGACAGGTCTTTCTTAAATTCAGAGACAAGGATCTCATAATTTTCAATATCTTTCTCCTTCTTGCTCAGAGTAGATTTGAGTGCATAAATTTCTTCTTCCTATATTTTAGAGGATGCTGGTTACTCGCATGGTGAGTGTATTCTTCAGTGTCTTTATTTCCTCTTCAAACAACTTCTTACTGTCATTATACACTCTTCTTTCATTCTCTAGAAGATTAGAGGGGGTTACCATTGAAATCTTTCTCATCTGTAATTTGTTTCAACCTTCTTTCGATATCCATTTTCTCTTTCCGGAGTTGGTCAACCTGATCATTATTAGAGCGAAGGTTATCTCTAATGCTCGTCTGCTCCATTTCCAGGCGTCTCCTTTGGTCCTGAATTTTTCTGAATTCTTCAACTTTAACATCATATTCTTTCTGTAACTTTGTTCTATCAGATTTTTCAGAATTAATGGATTCAAGAAGCTTGTTATTCTCAGATTCTAGCATTGAAATTCTGTCAAAAGCTCTCTCAAGCGCTGCATTGGTCTCTTCAAATCTTTGTTTTATACTAGAGGTGCTGACTTCTGGGGGGAAGGAATTTTGGGTGTTCTGGAAGCCAGTTTCGACACCTTTAAGTTTCTTGTTCAAAAGTTCGTTCTTCTTCTCAAGTAAGTCAATCTGTTCTTTATAAAATCCTAAGTTATTTGTATTATAAGCTTGTTGCTTAAGGCGGCTGCATTCTTTCCTGAGCTCGACTCATTCTTCAATCAGGTTATCATTCTCAGAAAATAAGGTCTGGCTCATATTCTTGATCTCCTGGAGTACATTCTTTCTACCCTGCTCTTCGAGTGCATTATTGATCTCATCCAGTGCCTTCTTATTTCTTCTAGCTTTTGAGGTTTCTGCTTCTACACGGTCTTCAGATTTCTGGAGTAACTTTATCAACTGGTGGTTCAGATTGAACAACTCCTTAAATACTCATTCTCTTTGGTCTGCATTCTTATTTTTATCATACTCAAAGTAATCTTTGTATTTCTGGTCAGCCCTTGAAAGGAAGTTCTCCGCCTCTCTTTCTATAAGCGAGGGATCTCAGTCGGTATCGCTGTTTGGAGTGACACCCTCAATAGTGTTCTCATCAGAGTCAGCCAAGTGCCTCCTTGTTTGATCCATGCATAGGCTTATGATTCTGTCAAGGCTTCTCTCTGTTGATCTGAGACGACTGCAGAAATCTTTCAGTGCATCCGGGTATGTTCCATATGAGGACTCTATTGTATCAAACTGTCTTGTATTTGTGTTATATACGACCCTTTTACTTTCAAAGGCGAATATAGTAGATTCAATCCTGTGAATAATTGATTCAAGCTCCATCATTCTCTCTTCGAGCACCTTGTCCTCGCTTTTAGGAGCATTCATCTGCTTCCTTTGGTATGAGTTTTCCTCGAAGCTCATTACCCTATTCTCATTATGCTGATCTTTTGATCTAGTCTTAAGCTTTTGTTCTAGATGTTTGATACAATCTTCTTTCTCTTTGAGTATATTTTCGAGGTAATCCACTTCATCTTGAAGCTTATTTAACTCCATTGGAGAGATATCAAAGGATTGGCTGCCGTTTCCTTTTTCTCTTAGAATTTTATCGACTGCTTCTGCAAGTTTGTCCATTTCCTCTTTCAATTTTCTATTCTCTTCAGCTGTTTCAATATCCTTATTTGCTATTCCTTGCTTCAGCATTTCTATAGTCTCGAAGTTGGATATCCCTAAGCTTGAGGCAAGCTAAGATGAACTCATCGTTATTTTTCACTGGAAGTGGACAATAAGAGAGTTCCTTCCAGATTTCAATGGCTCTCTGGTCATCTCCTCTTTGGAAGTATTTTATAACTTTGGAAACAAGCTCAGTATCAGCAGAGCTGAGCCTGACTTCAGGCTCTGCTCTTCTGTTGAGAATGTATTTATTCTCCTTCAGCCTATAAAGTTATTCTAAAGAGGTTACATAGAGTCTCTGTTGGAACATCTTGTAGTGTCATTGATAAACCCACTGTTTAACTCTCGATAACTTGTGTTTTCAGGTTTGAGCAAAGCATTCTCTACTTCCTTGGCTTGGGCTATTGTCATAGCAAGAAGGGAATCGTAATTTAAACCAGTCAATTTTTCAATAGCAGTCTTTTTCTTGGAACTAAGTTTTGCTTTAATTCTGATCGGTTTATCCCTGTAGCTCATTCTCTCATTTGATTTACGGGAATGCTTCTTACTATGGATAGATGAGTCTATATTTAGGCCAGTACTATACCACGAGCTGGGTAATTTTCTAAAGTATGAAACTTTTGTAAACCATTGCAATCTTCAACTTCCATTCTTACTGAAATTGACTTGGTGTTCTCAAATCCTAAGATTTTTGACTCAAGTCTCTTAATAATATCGTTCTTAGCTCTGATCTGAGATTTGAGTGATAAGTTCTTCTCTTCATATGCACAGATAGACTCCTTGAGTTCAGACACAGATTGTTTTAACTTCTTAATATCTTGATTTCAAACCTTTAATGATTTGTCTTTAAGCTTGATGGCTTCTTCCTTCTGGTTAAGCTCGAAAGTAAGTTTTTTGTGAGAACTAATGTCTCTATCCTTTTCTCTTCTAGCTCTAAGTTCTATATCACCTTTAGGGAGGCTCTTATTGGCAATCTCGAGGTGCTCTTGGAGTTCCTGGATTCTTTTCTCCCTTCCACAGAGATTCTCATTGAGTGTTTTGATAATTTCACTGCTTTGCTCCTTGATTTTCTTAAGCTGATCATTCTCTGATAGAAGCCTTTTGTTTCACATTGAGATGTAATCACTATGTACTCGAGAGTTCAGCTTATTTATACTCATCGAATAGGAATAAGCTCTGCTTGAGCATTCAGAAAGTGATGTCTTCGAAGCTTTTAGTTTCTAAAGTTAACATGGATACTAGTACCTTTTTCATTGATCAAATTTCCCATGTTGGGAAACATCGTCACAAATTTCTCCTGTGCTTCAAGTACTGTGTCTAAGAGATAAGTCAAGTGTTCCTGGTCGCCTGTGGAGCTGAAGTGTTCAGGAGATTTCGGCAGGCTTCTCGGGTCCTCTTCTATCTCTTTTTCAAGGTTCATCATATTATGGGTCTTCCTATCATCCTGTGTCCTCATATGATTACTCTGGCTTTGAGTTAAGTCATCTCTATATGGTTAATCATGAGTTAATATTCCTCAAGCTAGAATATGTATTTACTGGACTATTTCTCTATCAAATATTTCATAAAAATCGGCTAAATCTTGAAATATTGAGAAAAATTGAATGAAAATTTTCAAACTTGGCATGAAGTAATTAATCGAGTAGCTACCTCCAGTCATAACTCATCACATTATCCTTAGTTTTATAAGTCCCTGGGTGGATATCCTCAGAAACGGAGATATCTAAGGGCCTATTTCTACTATCTCTGACTTGAACTGCTCTGCTCCTCTCCTGGCTCCTATTTCTATATGGGTTCTCCATTTCTTAACAAAAATTCAAAATTAAATCAACAAAGGAGTAAGACATGGGGTTTTGGGGTTTTGGGGTTTTGGGGTTTTGGGG